AGGTTGTCCTGCCTTCATTTCCCGTAATTTCTTGGTGAATGTATTGCGAAGAGTATTTCAACGCCCTTCTGCTTGCTCAGCTAAAGTTATTAAAATTTAAATATTACTTGCTATAATAATATCTTGCAAATTCAAAGTAGCAATACTTAACCTGTACAACCAAGCATCTCCCCAATACTTGTCCATTTTTCACATTTCAGTTCTTTATTTTTGTAATCTTTTAATGTTTTCACATATAATACTGGATTTTCTCTTACAATAGAAATTAAAAGTTCGTCATTGATATTTTCCTGTATTTCAACATCGACGTTTAAATCGTTTGAATGATCCATTGTGCAACTCGTCAGTCATCGTCAACATAATATTTTTATCGGTTATCGTATCCCACTTGGCTTTAAACAGTAAGATTTTAGCAGTAAGAAATGAAATTTCGCCAATTCGCTTAAGGATTAAAGTTATGGCTTAAGTACTGACGGGAAAGCCTTACGGACGGAAATGACGTCACAAATTATGGCTTAAAGCTTAAATCTTAGGGCTTAAGATCTCATTGTAGACGCCGCTTTACACATGCTATGGGGCTGTTGATAGGGTGATAGTGGATGTGCGTGCGGCGCGGGTTTATGCGAGATGTTAAGGGGGCGCGCGATATATTAGGAGGCACGTAATGCTAGGAATTGTGTGGAGAAAGATGGTTTTATTTACCAGGGGGTTCCTCGTGGTTCCCAGCAGCAGAGACGGCGTCCTTGATCCGCGGGGTTGGCGTTGCGGTCCTTCTGTGTTGGTGTGGAATTCGGCTTCAGCAATTGCGTGATGAATGGAGTTCATAGGGTTACGGCGCGCGAGAGATGGAGAAGCAGTTAATTTTGAAATAATCTTGATTCACTCCGATCAATATAATGAAATACCAATATTTATTCAATTTAAGGTATTCAATTCAATTTAATATAGGTCTGTTCGCGTTGCATGAAATCCCCAAATATTTTTGCACTTAAAATGAGATAGATATATATTTGGCCTTGAAAAGAGAGAAAGCGAAGATGCCGAGTGCTAAAAGTGTAAGCAACGCGAACAGACCTATATAATTACACTACTTTTACACTCGATCGACCATGATCGGCGCAAACTAACGGATTACTACTTGTAAATATTACCAATCTGTAGGAAATAAAACTATGGTGACTCAAGGATTTTTGTTGCTACCAACATTACTCCCTCTTTTTTTATGAAAATTGTCATGTAACCCAATTCGATATAAAAATCAAATGAGTAATATTTTTGATATGTCTATCTATAATTATTTCCAATGCTCGGAAAGTTTTCTAACCTTTTTTTAAGTAATAAAAACAATAATGAGTAATACGTATTTAAAAAAATTGTATTGCAAATATATTTAAATATCAAAAATTTTTTTGAATAACATTAAATAATTACTTTTATAGATAAAAAATGCCAAGTTGTTGCATATCTGAGTGCTCTAACCGCGTCAAAAATGGTTTGAAAATTTTCATGGCGATTCCCAAGTGACCCGTGAGAAAAAAATCATGGATTATGAATATACGCAAAGCTAATGGCAAAGTTGACTGAGAACCAACAATTCATTCATTTATATGTGAAGTAAATCAAATTTGTTTCCTTTGTATTATATTGTATTATAAAAATAAAATTATTGACGATGTTAACATTTTTATAAATATAAAGAAAACACAGGGGCTAATAAGAGTACAACACAGTTATCGCAAAAGATAAAAACTTGTCCTTTAATGCAGGAAAAAATTATTCTTCCTAAATTAAAGAAGGATAAGTTATCTTTTGCACTGATAACTGTGTTGTACTCTCATTTGCCCTTATGTTTTCCTTATATTTAGAATGTGAAAGTCCATACCAAATATAAAATTCATTTTTACAGACACATTTTGCAAATGAAATGTGGGAAAAAGTTAGACTCGATGGGAAACGCAAATTAAAGTGCAATGCTGTACCCTCGATTTTCCCTCGATCGGAAAGAAGTAGCATAACTACGAAAGTAAGTTCTCTTTTTCTGCGTAACTTTATTCAAAAAAGTGAACAATGCATGCATTTACAGTTCAGTATTTGATGACAATATTTTTTATAATCTATTGTGCATATCAATATTTCCCTGAAATCAAATTTTATTGCAACAATATTTGATAAATACTTAAAAATGTATTCTTGCTACACTAACAACATAAAATAATGCTCATTCAAAACTACAATTAATACGAAATTTTTTATTTGGAATTTCACTTGATCTGTATTCTTATTGTATAAGGAAAATATTGTATAAGGAAAAGGGGAAGGTCAATAAGGACATTTTTGTGCTCCCTGCGGATTTCTATTTTTTTTGTATTGTATGATTATTAAGAATGTTATAAATAATCATTATATGAGAAAAAACTCAATCCATAAAGCTCTAATTTGAGTTTTTTCTCATATAATAATTATTTTTGACATTCTTAACGATCATACAATATGAAAGAATTGTTTAATGGAAATCCATAGGAGACATAAAAACGACCTCATTGACCCTCGTCCTTTCCATGTGGTGAAAATCTTAAAATTTCATTGTCGAAATGAAAACCAACATTTGTTCTTTCAACAAACTTTTCATGAAAATAATGAATCTTTTTTAGAATGATAATAACGAATCTTTAGAAAGGCAATCTGAGGCAAGGCTGGAAACATTTCATAATCATGGAAATGTTAATGAGGAACAACATAATTGTTTCAAATCAAATGTTCCTGACATTTCTCCATCGACATCAAATTTTGCACAATCATTCACGTTAAATTTCTCTCTGGAACTATCAAATTCTAATTGTAATTCTACTTACTATAATATATCATTTACATATATATATATATATTTATAAATGTATGCCCGGGTATATATATACAGGGTATCTCAAAAAACGGATCGAAACACAATGGGGACGTAGATTGGATCAAGGGGAACAAAACAGTTTTGTATCATTTTGCAGTTGACGCAATATTTAACGAGATATTAACGTTTAAAGATAGGCGAATACAAGC